ACATCAACAGAAAATATCACTTCATTAGACATCAAGTAGAAGAGGGACTCCTCGTGGTGAAGAGGGTATCGTCAGAAGAAAACCCAGCAGATCCCCTTACGAAGGGACTGAGCAGGGTTAAGCACTTGCAGCACGCTAGAAGTATCGGGCTGAAGGACGATATTAGTTTTAATGATTAGATAGACATTTAGAAACTTGTAATAGCTAAAATGTAATTGACAATTGATGATTGAATAAAAGGAGTTTTATTTATAAGTAAAGTTACTGTCTTGTGTCAATTATTTACTATTGTTTCATTTTGCATTGACTTCCAGAATAATGAGATTATTCAAACCATCCACAATCGATCATACTTTGGAAGTAGGTTATGAAAGTAGACTGTCATGAATGGGTTTTTTTAAGATTGTCTAAGGTGTTAGACATAGAAAAAGATTGCTACAAACATTCACGAGTGCTCTTGAAATAAGATTTGAGTATTGGATTAAACCCACACTTACATGAATCACTTCATGGAATTTATCACGGGTGATTGTGAGACGATAATATCGTATAGTCTTCAAACCAAGATATATGAGTTGGCTGTACATTGATAGTGCGAAAACGCATCAGTAACTCGATGTTATAAAACGTGTTGCTGTGTATGATACTACGAATAGTTTGTACAAGCATATAAGTTGAATTTTATATGTTCCTTTTATCCTAAGAGGATTAAAAGCGATATCTTGGGCCCCTCGATGATTTTGTTTTGACTTATGTGACGGGCCCGGTCATAACTCTATTGATGTGTTCAATTAAGTTGTATGTCAAACAAATCGGAAATCCGGAAACAAACTGTTGGACAATGAGTATGACTTTATTCCATGTCTTTGTCCACACGATATCTTGTAGAACAGAGGATCATATGATCCCTTATCTAATGGACGTGTCAGAGTTCGACATCGGCTTTTTGAGAGCTACGGTTGCAATTCGGATTTTAAGTTACATTGGCAGTTATAGTTATTAGACTTATCCAAGTGGCAGACTGTTGGGTTTGGTGTCTAAGCCCATAACTATAATTGGTATGTACTTGACCCGATAGTAGCATGGTCCATTTGGGTTGCATTCATCAAAGCAATTTGATGAGATGGATATTTGAGAAAGAGGTTATTTGTGATTTATTAATATATTATAAGTATACAATATTAATTGAGAAATCATATTATTTAATTAGTATTGATCAAGAATTATTTTGGAATTAATTTAGTGATCAAAAGAGACTAATTAAATTAACGGGGACTGATTATGTAAATCAATCATACATATGGATTGGGCTAATGATCCATGATTGATTTGTTGATGGGCTAAGCTTATGAGTTAATCCATGAAGTGGTAGTCCAAATCAACTGGATCATAAACCTAAGTGTTTGAATTAGGGTTACATGTGACTCTTAGAATTCTGCACTATAAATATGTGCCCTAGTGTCCAAAATCGGTGACCCCATGCATGAGAAGAAGGCATAACCGATTTTGAGTCTCCTTAACCTCTTCTATATTCATCTAATTGCCTTGGTGTTTTGTGAACCATTTGAGGCATCACACTTGAGGTGCTAAGCTTTCTTAACCCAAGTTCTACAAGCTACTACACAAGGTAATATTCTAACTAGTTTTTATGATTCAAATATCACCTTGCATGCTAGTTTAGGCTTCATGCTTTGGAAAATGTTTATTGCATGTATAATTAGAGAAAACTTAGATCCAAAGCATTAGGGTTGTATGTGCACCATAGGAATGTTAGAGTACATAATACCCATCATCTACTTCAACAGAATAGGGATGAACGTACTGTGACTATTGTGGAGCCCGAATTGAATGAAGAACTGTCAGAGGAGGGAAATTACAGCCGTACTGTGAGTCAAGTTGAACCCCGAGTGGTAAGGAGGAACGACCCGGACAAAGGGATTGACAGGGATGGGCGTATGTATAAGAACTTCTTGGGCGCCAAGCCACCAAGTCTTCCTGGAAGCCCAAAGCCAGTGGAAATTATGGACATGATCTCCGAGATGGAAATGGTATTTGAAAGCTGCAACTACAACAATAAACCGAAAACCGTCTTTGCAGTCAGACAACAGAAGACCGGGGTTTTAAGTTGGTGGAAGTTGTTGGTAGATACAATGCCACAAGGAGAAGCCTTGAGGATGTCTTGGGAAACATTCCTGGAGCAATTGAAAATGCGGTACTGCTCGGAGGTATATCTGATAGACCTAAACAACGAGTTTCATAACCTAAAGAAGGGGAAGGTGAGTATTGATGAGTACGCCACCATATTCACCGAGAAGATGAAGCTATTCCCCTACTTGGTGCCTACTGAACTCTCCAACATAGATAGGTTTGCTAATGGATTGCCAACGTACTTTGGTGCAACGGTAAAAATGACAACTACTTTGAAGACAACCGTTAGAGCAGCCAAGAATGTGGAGACCCAACTTGGGGAAAGGGTATGAAAAGAGTTGAGGTAGGGCAGAAGAGGAAGTTTGAGGGGTCTTCAAGATACGACAAGAAAAATAGGTTCCCGAAGTCTGACTCCAACAACAAGAGGTCTGGGGATAGTAATGAAGAAAAGTGATGTGACAAGTGCAGAAGGAAACAAATTGGGAAATGCTCTAAAGAGGTGACATGCTTCAAATGCGGGAAGATTGGTCACTATGCCAACAAATGCATGACCAAGAGAGTATTCCTCTTTAAGTGTGGTGAAGAAGGACTCTTCAAACAAGACTGCCCAAAGAGGGAAGGAGCTACAAATCCAAACGTGCCGCCAAAGCCACAAAAAAAGCTTAAAAAGAACTTATTAGAAAAAAATACCTTAATGTTTCGTGAATAACTTGTCACTTCACGATAATGGTACATGTATATTGTGAGCACTTTAAATGTACAATGTATTTTTTTTTTAATATCATATAAAGGGTAAAAATCAATAAATAGGTTAGAAGTTTACCAAAATATGACCTCCATTGATACATAAATAGGCCCGACCCTAAGAGGGTGCCGGGTGTGTGACCACACAGACCTCCGAAAAAAATAGAGTATGATTTTAAGTAAAAATTATATATTTGATTTTGTATATATAAAGAAATTTACGTAATAAGTTACATGAATGCTTTCTAGTTCAGATAACCAAGTGATCTGTTTTACATGTGTTCGACTCTATGCTACTCCAATTTTTGTGTTTTTTTTTCATTAATCAGTTTGTCCTATAGTTTCCTAATCAACCTCCCTTTATTTTCCTAAATTCATATCTTTAAATTAATTAATCAATTTCTCATTTTTTTTAAATCAATTTCCTTTTTTTTAATAATTCACTTCACCTGCTACAATCAATTAGAATCCATCAGCCCTTTAAAGAATTTATTCCATTAAGTAATTGCATTTTTGATATAATTAGATTAGTTTAAAAATTAAATAATATGGAGTCATTGTTACGGAAATATCAAGTATCATTTAAATGAAAAACAAAATAGCACTTTGATATAATTAATCTAACTAAAATAATAATACAGAAAACATTTTATATTTAACAAAAATTAATCTATTTAAATTTAAAATTTTAATAATTCAAAATACATTAAGTCTACAATCAACTGTATTAATGAACCGTTTTCGTTTTCGTTTTCATTTTCAATCTCTCTCTCTCTCTCAAACGGTTATTACAATATTTGGATTATGTATAAATTGATGTATGCACCGTGTTCTTATTGATAGATTCAAAGACATGGGTCGATCAAAATTTGAATGTTCTCATGAAACTCATCAACAACCATGTTATTCTCTTTAAGTATTCTAACTAATTATTGTGTGGATGTAAGAATTAATGTGAACCAATCATTTCAAAACCTAAATAAGGTAAATTTTTAATGTTATCTATTAATTAATTTTAGTAATTAAATAAATATTTAATTAATCCTAACCGACCATACAAAACACATATCTCGTTCTTCTTTCTGCGCCTCACACCTCACTGTCGTTCTCTCTCTCTTTTTCTCGTTCCAAAAGTTTCGATTTGCTTCAAATCAACGACACAACAAAAGTCGAGATTTGGTTTTTCTCTCTTTTTCTGTAAGAATATGTATTTGCATTTCAATGTTTGAATATATAAGGATTATGTTATATTTCAACTGAAGGTTCAAAAATGTTGTTTTTCTACAAAAAGTTACTTTAATCAAAATATGTACTCTATCAGAATATATTCTGACATTTTCATAGAATATCGTTCTAACATAATTGCATTCTAAAAGAATAAAATCGAGTAAATTAAAAGTTATGTTAGAATTAAAAATAAATTAATTAAAAAAAATCAGAATTCAAAATTAAAAGAATCAATATCCCTTAAAATCCGAAAATTCATTAATTAAACATGTGTCTCATAATTTAAAGATAGATAAATCATTACTTAAAATAACTAAAACAATTGGTCTACATTCATCCCTAAATCCACGCAATAATTAATTAGAATACAATAACCTAAATATATATATATATATATATATATATATATATATATATATATATATGTTTAAGTTATTGTATTCTAATTAATTATTGTGTAATATATATATATATCTATAATATATATATATATATATATATATATATATATATATATATATGGTGGTTTTTTTTTGTATGTGACCCTTAAAATCAACCGAATGACCCTGTATGTGAATATTCTGATTTGCTTTCCCATAATCCCATATAGATCGATATTAGATTATAGGACAAGCTGTCCGTCTATAATATTTGGAGATGATTGAATAGTTAGATTATATATTTTAAAAAGAGTTTTAAAAAAATAAAATCTTCATTAATTATTCAAATAAACTTTTTACAAGATGATAGTACCACTATAAACTTTTTATACAAACGTATATGAAATTAAGATACAAACGAATATTTTCGTAAAATGATAAACAAATCTTTAATTTTGTCGGATTGATGCCAGCTAAAAATTAATGATGATTCAAAAAATAATGAATGTGTAAGCTAGCATTTAAAAAGGAAAAAAGAAAAAGAAATGAAGATTAGAAAGAAATGGATATTTAAGTAAAATTATCAATAGTAAAATGGTCTAATTTGCCAAATCCAGCCATCCAAGGGCTATCAGGGATAGTCTTTCATAGCCTAGGGGTAAATAGATATCATACTTAAAATTAAGGGATATTTCTGGAAATATCTTATTCGATTCCCAAATTCGTTCAAAGATCCTTCAATAATTTCCAATTTCCATATCACCAACCATCGTCTCAAGCCTTTCTACGCATCCTTGTGCTAAATTCCTGGTGTTCTTCGATTTCTCTTCATCATCCAGCAAGGTCTCGATTTTCCAACCAGGTACACCCTTATGTATCTCTTTGATTGCGTGTATGTATGTATACCTAAAAATCTACATTGTTTTTATTTATTTAAGAATCAAATTTTGTTCAAATATGGCGGATTGATTCTATTTTTCAGCTGTCTTTATTTGACCTTTCATTTCTTTACATATGTTAGATTTTTGTTTTCCAGGTTTATCTTGTGTGTGATCATGATTCATCTGTCATAAGAATCGGCGTGTTTATTCTGGAAATTGGAAATTTGTTATGCTTTCTTCTTTGCTTTTTTTCAATCGTAGGAGTTAGATTGTGTAAGTTGATAAAATCATAAAATTCTTATCTCGCCCAGGGTATTAAAAACAATTGTATACAGCTTTCTTCCTTAGGGTCGTGGGTATAAGAAACTAAGTTAAAGCAGTGTAATCTTCTCCTTTTGTTCATGCCAACTCATAATTGAATGTGCATTGATTGTTTTCAATTTGTTTTCTTATAAATTATGTTGTAGGATTTATTTTATTTGTTGTATCATTTAATTAGTAGCCTGTAAGCTACATGCTTTTGTTTCATTGTGATATAAGAGCTTTGGGTTTTATGGGAAATTTAGATACCTTGAATCTGTGATCAGTATTTTTAATTCTGATGTTTTACATCAAAAAGAATATGTATATGTTTATATTAGGGTTCATAAATTCATGCATTGATCTTTATAGTTACATTAGTTTCTTTGATCATACAGAGTTATCTTTCCAGGCTATACAGTAATTTTCTGGACACCATTATGGATGAGACAAAAAATAGTGATGATTTTACCTTTTGGCAAGTAAGTTCTTTCCAATTCGTCTGAATTAGCTATGAGCTTCATATCAATCTTTTCTTGTGATATATTTAGAGGATCCATTAAGGGTTTGTTTTGTAAAATGGAATGGAATGAATGAGGTAATAGAATAAGCAATGCAATGGAATGAGCCATTACATTCCATGATCATGTTTGGTTGCCTTGTAGAAATGGAATGAATTTCTTATTCTATATGGAAATACAATTTATAATTTTCACTCGAGTCTATACATTATTTTAGTTATAATTAACAAAAATAATAACATCAGATTAAACCCCAAATAAGTTATAATAAAGATAATATTCTTTTGTTACTCAGGTTGTGTTTGGCGTGACACAGCTATCAGATAAGCTAGCTTATTTTTTGAGCTTTTTAAAATTGTCATGTTTTGGCAAACCAAAAAGTAGCTTATAAATTAGCTTTTTAAAAAGCTACTCAGACTAGCTTTTTAGGAGCTTTTTAAAAATTTTCCAAATATACCCCTTAGTTAATTATAAAAACACATTCTCTTAAATGCCCTTTTATGTAATTTTATATATTTCAGCTAGTTTTATCAAATATCATTTTTTATCAGCTAGCTTTTCAGCTATCAGCTAGCTTTTTATTTAACAACTAGCTTTTCAGCTATCAACTTACAACTAGTTTTTTAGCTAGTACGCCAAACATAGCCTTAGACTAGCTTTTCAGGAGCTTTTTTAAAGTTTCCCAAATATACCCCTTAATTAATTATAGAAAACATATTCTTTTAAATGCCTTTTTATGTCATTTTATATCTTTCAGCTAGTTTTACCAAACATTATTTTTTATCAGCTAGCTTTTCAGCTAGTATGCCAAACATAGCCTTAAAAACGATAAACAAATCAAAATTTAGTGTCACTTAGAGAATTACATAATCAAAATTGAGTTATATTGTAATTCTTTATTCCATTCCATGATGAAATGAAACAAAAACACCCTCAGACTAAGGAATGAAAATTAACAAAATGGAAAGAATCACATTCCTTCTAGTCCACTCCATTCCATCAGACAAAACAAAAACATGGTAATGGTATCAATTCCTATGGAATGAACAATTCCATTCCTGCCCTTGTTCCATCATACCAAACACTACCTAATTGTTTGTTTCTGATTACCATGTATATAGGTTGGTGATGAGAAGAAAAATGAACCAAAAGGTCTTCCAGATGTCAGCAGTATGAGTATAGAAGATAAAAACAAAAGTAGTGGAACTATTTGGGGTGATAATTCCAATAATAAAGCTGATGTGGCAAAACAGGAGAAAGTTGGATCCTTGACTTTTAAGGTTATTGATGCGTCTTCACAAAGAAAGTCAACGGAACCTTCCAAACAAGCAGCAGGGGTAGATGTGGAAAGTTCAAATAATGCATCACAAAAACCAAAAAGTGTTGGAAAGAAGCCAGTTTCAAGGGCAAAAGTTCCTTATCAAATTGGGTATAGTCATATGGATTGGCTCAAGGTTACTAGAACACATCCTGATTTAGCAGGTAATTCAATTCTTTGACTTTTAAAATCATCATGTTTGACTTTATAATGCAAACAAAAACATCATAAATAAAATATACCCTTTTTTAGTTTTTGCATTTACATTCCTGTAAATATAATATAACCTTTTTTTGGTTATGTAAGCTTCAATAACATAAATATTTCGAATTTTTTTCAAAACTTAAATGGAACTACTTTCTTATTTTCCAAAATATAACCATAAAGTAAGTTTTTCAATAGTCTTGTTTGACGTTTTAATGAGTTTTTATTATGTCTAGTTTTAATTGTTATAAATAAAAATCC